TTTTATTTTTTTGATTTTTTTGATTTTTTTCAAACTAATAAAATAACAAAATATTATATATACAATAATATTGACAAAAGAAGATAAACTTATTAATAAATTAATAACTAGATACATACTTCTAGAATAAAAGAGTTGCATACTCAAAAGAAAGCATTTATATTAAAGGAAGTATTACAATACTATAGAAAATAGAAAATAAATATTGAGCGCATGATTCCATTAATTTCTTCAACCTCGGGATGGTTTCGCTCCTCTTTCTTCGAGCTTCATTTTTAGCAACACTTAGCTAATGTTTTTTTTTCATTTCATAAAACATATATCTCAAAGAGAATCGTGGCCTTTCCCTATGCATATGAAGTTTTAGATGTCTACATAAATTTCTCGAGCCACCGCTTGTTGGAGCTTGTAATACTATCTAACATTTGTTACATATAGCAACTCTATTAGCACCCTTACCTTTTATTGTGAAGTTTGTAAGTCTAAGATTCGCTGACTTTCAGAACTTGATTTGAAAATGAGAGTATTAGAACTTGAGAGAGTTTGAGAAAACAATGAAAAGAGAAGTCGGGAATATTAGTGTGAGGAAGAAGTGAGGCATGAAGGATATTTATAGATTTAGAAATCATTTTACAAGACCCCCAAAAAATATTTAAAAAATAACATAAATAAGAGACCAATTCCTATTGTTTTTTATATACTGAAGATGTTTTTTTAAATTAGATGCTCATCCCATTGTTTTTGGCCCAATTTCTAAGTACCTTTTTCTAAATTTTAATTTTTTTGGGCTTCAATGGGCCTCTAGCCTATTTATATTAAAAATCCCATCGGGTTGGGCTAGCTTTCGAGCTAGCAAACCCGATGGTCAGCTCTAATGTGGACCCATAGTAAAATTTGACATGACTAGTACCCAACCTTAATGCCAATTAATTTCACTCACCACCTTTGTAGTGCTTGTTATGCAGTCATTGTTGATTTTAACTGGTTTTTTAAATAAAACTTACTAAAAAGTTATTTCTATTGTTTAAAATGTATATGTTTTTTTATAACTAAATCCCTGGTTCATTTAGATAAGATATCATGTACCCTTTGACTTTTAAGGTGTCTCAAAAGCCCCATAACATCCTAACTTTTTTCTATGTCCCATAAACTAACTTTTTTCAACATACCCTTTCCCAGATGTTATCGAATGAAGTAGTAAACAATCCAAATATCTTTTAAGAGACACTCCAATTATTAGGCTAGTAACTCTAGTTAACCTCAAATTAGTTTTAAATTAGAAAGAGAAAGATAGATAGCGAAGGAGAGGAGAGGATGTCACGTGACAAGAGAGGATGTGTAGTGATGAAGGAGATTGTTGGCGGGCAATGATAGAGTGAACTAGGGTTAGAGGGAGAAAGGGAGAGAGGGAGGAGGTGGTCACTGGCGACTAGCTAGGAAAAGGCATCGAGTTAGGATTATGGTTAGAAAGAGAGGAGAGGGGACAACATGTGAGGGGGAAACATGGAAAAGAAAAATGATTGTTAGCGATGGAGGCGAGCTAGGGTCAAAAGAGATGGAGGGAGGGGAGAGAGGAGGGGAGGCCCGGAGGGCATCACAAGCAACAACTGGTCATGGTTAGAGGGAGGGTTATAGTTTGGGGGGGTGGGGAGGGGGAGAGAGAGAGAGTAATGTAGGGAAGGTGAGGGTTGTTGATGAACGCCTAGAATTAGGGTTAGAGAGAGGTGGGGAAGGTGGGGGTTGTTGATGAACGCCTAGAATTAGGGTTGGAGAGAGGTGGAGAAAGTCGACAAAGGAGTAGCTAATAATTGGAGCTAGGGTTTGGGTTTAAGAGAGAAAATAGAGGGGTACATGTGCAAAACTAAAAAGATGCATGCACAAAATATTATTGTTATTAAGCTCTTGTTGCAAGATTTATTCAAAATACCATAAGTGAGTGATTAGTAAAGATACTAAAGCATTATTAGCAAAAGTTACAGTTTGTAGTATATATATCATGATGATAAGTTTGAAGTTCTGACTTTCAGATTTGGTTGTGGGGCTTATATTTAGAAGCTTTTTAAGTTACGTTAACTTTAGCTAGTTTTTGACTTATGTGATAAAATTTTTGTAAAACATGTATGAATAAAATAGTCATTTGCTTGTTCAAATCCAGCTTATTTAGGCGATCTTTTAAGCTAATTTTCCTAAATTTGTTTAAAAACCTACTTTAAGAAATCCACAAACACCTTCGACATTTGGAGAAAGTAGCCAGTGCATTGACTGTACCACGCCATTAGTACATAAACCATTTGTTAGTTGAAGTTCGCTAACAACATCTTTATTCTTTGATTTCTGACTCGAGTAGCTCTGAGGAGATCCACTGAAGACTTATTTTTTTTATTAGAGCTAGAGGTGTGACCAACAATACTTCCCCCATCCCCCTCCTATCTTCAAGAACCTGCTTCCAAGCACCACCACCATCTTCATAATCTTGCTTTCTGAGATAAAACTGGTTTCTTTTTAAGAGATAAACTTATGTAAGCTTCAATTAAACCTTTTCTACCTCCAGTAAATTCGAGTTCAAATTCCACTTATTTATCCAATTTTCAGGGAATCGGGGTTTTCAGATTTGTTGTTTAAGCTGATTTTTCATGTCATCTCTAATATTGCATTCGTTATTATCAAATGTCACTACTGTCTAGCAATGCTCCAGCTCAAAATCAAAGTAAAGGTGAGAACTTTACCTCCAATGATCATAGAACCCAAAATCTTCGAGAGGTAATTTTAAAACTATCTAGTTAACTCTAAAACTAATAGAAAATGCTAGTTTCACATACGAACTCCTAATAGAAAGCACAATGGCTTCACGTCTTTGAGGAATCACTCCACAATCTTCTCTTAACCTAATTTTCTTTTTTCAAATAAAAATCTCATGCTACATTTCTCAACTTTATTTAACTTTTCTTCATAGTTTTCTAATTACTATGAAGTTCGTAACCATATAATAGGGTTTAAGATCCTATCTCTACTAAACTCAAATTAGAATTTTAAACTCGAACAAAATTCTAATCCTATTATAATTCAAACTCAAAATTGACTCTACCTCAGAATTAGAATTGAAATCAAATACTAATTTAAACTTTTAAATCTTGCTAACCTAATCTGCTTACAAATTTATCTATCCAAATTACTTCTTCCATTAGGTCAAGACTCTTCAATGAATTTTAACTTAATCTTCAATTGTCCCACATCAGCGAAGCTAAATTATATATTTTTTTCCTCATATCCATCAAATCCATAAATAATATACTTTACCAAGTTTCAGAAGATTAAATTTACATGAAGGAGAAAGCTGATGTTTACCCATGATAGTCATGGATCGGTGAACTTGATCGTATATCAATTGATACGGGATGAAATCATCGTCTATAGGAGGGAGTGTAAACAAATCCTTTAGTTTTTGTAGACTCAAAGAAAGTCTTGAGAAAGGAGGGCTCAATAGAAATTTATTAATGTTTGTTTTGTCTTAGTGGACATGATGTCACTGAGCACATGGGCTTTTGATTTATTGCGAAAGTGGGTTTGGACCTTTTGTTTGGTGTTCTAACAAGCACATATCATAGGGGAGTTGTGTAACTTGTGTTCGTAAGGTTTTTCTTTTATATTTATAAGATCCTCGATTTGAATATCGTTTGTAGGTTTAGTTCTAGGAATTCGATTCAATCTTTCATCGTAGGGACTTGAATCGTTCGTGAACTTCTCATGTGTCTTTGGTCTATTCGAATTAACCTTTTCATAGTTACAATTATTGTAGGTGTTTAGTTTATTTATTGTTGATTTATAATTTTGTTGTTTATTGTTTTATTTTTGCCATTCTTTAGTCTTCGTTTTGCATCTGCATTGCATCGAGTTCTTAGATTATTAGTTTTGAAAACCTTATAGATTCTGTCCTGCATCAACCTCCTTTGGTTGATGGTTTTATATTGAACTAACTAAGAATTAACTGTTTTCAGTGACCGTGATACTGGAATCATAATTTTTTTGCGAAGTTTCATGGACCTTTTTTGGTGTTGATAGGAAGATTATTCTATTGTATTTTTTCCTCCTTTGTCAAGAATAGGATTATAAGTCTAGCTTCTTCCTTGACATGTGACTGAAAGATTTTTCTAATTGAATAAGGTAGTTGACGGCTTCTTTTTACATTAGGAAATGGTGCCCCATGTTCAACCACAGAAGTGATTTTCATAGTAAATATGATGTGTGCCGGCATTATTTTTTAAATTGACTTTCATAAGTGAGATAGTTGATAGCTGAGATAAAGTTTAGGCTTCCCATAGTTTGGGGTTTTGGGGCTAAATATTCCTCTATATATTCCGAGCTTTAGTTTCAGTAGTGTTATTTGATTGATAATCAAATAATAAATGTTGTTAGGTGATCCTTTAAAATTTGTTTCTCAATCATGTCTAATAGTAGGGTGAATTAGTTGAATCATGAAGGCTTTGATCTTCAAGAAGAATTTGTTTCTGTATGCCTCAGATATATGCTATGTTTACAAAGTTTTGTCAGGAAATCCTTTCAAATTTTCATTTATCACACTGACATACTATATTCAAAAGGATAAAAATGATAAGATTGAAACATATGTACGAACTTAAAATTATGGAAGTGATAACCCTGTGAAGCCTGTCAAAATTTTAGTTTTTCATCAATGCGTTCATGTCCTATATTTCTTCACTTATTCTCTTATCCAGGACTGTACTTTCAGAGTTCTGTCATCTATGCAATCACTATATAACACCGTAAAAGATCTAATTCTGATGATTAACAAAAATCCTGTGCAATTAAATGAGGAACTGTGGCGGTGAGTAGTTCTTCACAATTCAGTTGGTTTTACCTTACTTATTCCATGTGTTAATTCTCCAGGGCATGGATGTTGAATAATTTCTTAACCCTGAATGCATAACCATGAGAGTGCTATTTTATATCATTGAAGCATATCTAATAATTTGAAACACCAGGAAGCGGTGGAGATTCTTTCCAACATGAACCATCCTGAAGGAGATTGCCCATTGTGCCTATACCCTTTGGTCAGAGAAGATAACTCTGGTACTGCTTTGCCATTTATGAAGTTGATGTCCTGCTACCACTGCTTCCACAGGTAGATGCCGTTTGATGTTTTAGTGTGAATGGTTGTGCACCTTTGTGATTAACCTTTGATATTTTATATTTCCAACTTCATGTAGTGAGTGCATAATCAGGCTGTGGAAGTGGTTTCAAGAACAAAAAGAAACCAAAGAAATGAACCAGGCTGATGAAGCTTCTGCTGTTAGTGTAGGAGATGAAAGAGGTATGCACTCCTTTTTGTGGTAGTTTTTGGCTTTTGGAGCTTTTTTTGTCATCCAAAATGCTGCTGAAGATACTGTATTGGGGGCATTACATTTTAAATATGTACAATAGAAATTATATTTCGAATTCTCCATTCATCTATGGAGGGTCGTTGTTGGAAATTAAAGAGGAGATAATATTTTCTATATTATTCATCAACTGAAAGTGCCTTTATATAGACTTACAAAACAACTTAATCACCATAAAAATCTAAACTAATTTCAGATTTATTAGCCACTACTCCACTAACAAAATAACAACTAAAGACAAAGTCAACTTTGAATCAGTCTTCAACACTCCCCCTTGATTCAAAGTTTCTTGTCATTCCTTTTGAATCTTCATAGAGCACTTCTCTCCATAATCTTGTAAAGCATTTCTCTTCACTTTGTGATGCACTTCTCATCTCAATCTTGTTGATGCACATAATCACCAACATTCTCTTAAAGGAGCACCTCTCTCCACAAATATTGATAGAGCACTTGTCTCAATCTCTCCATGGCGCACATCTCACCATGATTCCTAGAATAAAATTTCTTCTTCAACTGCTGTGTTTTGCTTTCTGACGCCAGCAGCAGCTAGGTCAGCTACAACTTTTTGTGATCCTTCTGAAGCTGCCTTGGATCGATAGTACTTGACAATGGGCAGCTTGGGAAAGACAAATGCATAGAGAAGAACACAAAGCAGTCCCAAAATGCTGAGATTCCAGAGAACAGCATGGCTCCCTTGCGTAGACCATCTTGAGAATTCTCAAAACCTGCTTTTGTAATGAACCTCAATGCCGAGGTCATAGCACCTGATGCAGCTAAACCAGCAAGAAAAGACTGAATAAATTCTGGGCACATCAAAGACAGATCACCAACCATTCCACCTTGAGCAAGAGCATCTGCAACTCCAAATGCTCCACTTATTGTGCATACTCCAATAAAAGGTCCAATTCCTCCTTTACCAGATGTTGCCGCATCCAAAACAATAATCAAAGAATTGAACATGGTGGCCACATGTCTCGATCGAAGCAAAAATGCTGCAGTTCAGATACCAACAAGCTTCAGATATCAGCGGAGTAATGATCAAGATCAGCGACGGGGAAGAGGACGAGGTTTTCGTCCCGATCCATCAAGCAACGAATTATCAACCGTGATTCAAGCTAGCTTGGAAACAACAGCTGCAGATTCTTCTATTGCTCAACCAGGCTCTGATACCATGTTGGAAATTAAAGAGGAGATAATATTTTCTATATTATTCATCAACTGAAAGTGCCTTTATAAGGCTTACAAAACAACTTAATCACCATAAAAATCTAAACTAATTTCAGATTTATTAGCCACTACTCCACTAACAAAATAACAACTAAAGACAAAGTCAACTTTGAATCAGTCTTCAACAGTCGTTGCTAGAGACCCATTTAGTGTAGTGTACTTTTGAATTGTGGAAAGACCAGATCTGTACTGCTTCACGTGTTGGGAAGGGGGTCATTACTTTTTAGCCAATAAATTGTTTAAATGTTTGTGCTCTATGTGATAATTATCCATTTTTCTATGGAGGGTCGTCACTAGAGACACATTTAAATGTAGTGTATACAATTAAAATTATACTTCAGATTATCCAGTTGTCTGTGTAGGGTCGTTGATAGAGACCCATTTAAATGTAGCGTACTTCTTTTGAATTGTGGAAAGACTCAGTTGTTGGGAGGGTAGTCAATTACTTTTTAGCCATTAAATTGTTTAAAAGTTTGTGCATGATGTGATCGTTGTGGTTTTGGTGTATGCTTTGGTGGTTTAATGCATCACCACCGAGGATGCATGAATTTTCTTGTGAATGTATGCAAATGTTTAGTTTATCCATGAAATCTCCAAGATAGGAAAGGCATATAGTTCACATATGACACTAGCAATCTGTGCAGGTGAAGCTTTGTGGTCATACCTCAACTAAACAACTGTTATTTTTAGAGTTTCTTGCAGATAGAATGTCATGTTGTCCAACGTATAATTCTGAGATATCACTTCAGCTATAAGATTAATTGGCCAAACCATTTTGCGTTTGCATCCTTCTGTTATGCTTGTGAAAATATAATAACCCCGTGTCGTGGGAGATGGTCTTCTTTGAATGCAAGATGTAGTGCTTTCTTTATGCTGCCATCTAAAGAATTAAGACATATGGCATGTCATCAGGATTCTTTTTCCTTGCAAGAAATGACATTAAAAAGGAAAAATATCTGGCATTTTTCATTAGAGAACATTTGTTTCTAGTTTTTGCAGTTCCTACTTTTTAGGAACTTAGAACTTATTTTTTTTTCTTGGTCAAAACATTTGGAAACATGAAGGTGCAAATAGCACAAAAGAAATAACTTTATAAAAATGATGAATCTACCTATTTTCAATAAAACCGTAAGTGTGAGCCTTTTAAATGATTTGTGTAACCTACACACAGTTTCACATATTATCTTTTAGTGATCCACTGATCCAATTCTCAAAAGCATCACCAAGAAGATCCTATGACAATATGTATACACAAAAACAAGGTCTCTAAACACTGTTGGTTCTTGGACTACATAGTAGATAACATTTTAATATTTCTTTTATTATGTAGATTATGGATTGAAAAATTGCTCAATTTTGAACTAGATACCCAAACAGCGACTTAAAATCATTGTTCTGAATTGGTTATGGGTTAATGAACTAGATCCATGTCCAACAAGTTTGAGGAAGTGGATGTGAAGTGTAGGATGTACGTTAAAAAAGTGTAGCACGCGTTATATGATAGAGGACTTGCCCAAATATATGTATGCATATGTTCAAGGAGTGTCCAAGAAAGTGTCGCTGTTGGTATGCTTCAAATAGAAGTCCGCAAGTAACAAAGTTAACGTTCAGTATAGACACTTACAAAATTTTTCTTGCGCAAAAAAAAGAAAAAGAAAAAAGAAAAGAAAAGAACACTCACAGCTTATAAGTTCCAGTTTAACCTGTTACTCGACTTTGCAAGATTTAGTTCATTTACTTGGTGATTATAGTGCTTATGCTTGGATCCCACCAGGTGATGATGGATGGTGGCTAAGAGGAGGTCTATGTTCGAAGCTAGGTTACCCGGGCACTTTATTTTGGGTGACTTATCTGTGTAAGACATGTGTTCACTGTTTTAAAAAACCTCCGCCTAGTCCGCTTAGGTGTACGCCTAGGCCTAGGCGGTACCTAGGCCGCCTAACTAGCGCCTAGTGCCTAGACGGTATTTATACTATCCATCTAGATTTTACGAGCGTTTAGGGGAGCATTGTCTGCTTACGTGGATTGTACCTTGTAGGCCTTGATTGTGATTTTATGCGTTCTAGTCTACACGTCCTCCAAACTCCATTAACCTCCAAATATGAACACCTTCACTATCTCCTCCGACCTTCAGCAAAACCTCATCGACAACCACTTAAATGAAGAAAGAGAAAAAACGCCCAGAAACCGCTTAGGCGTCCGCCTAGGTGACTAAGCGCTGGGCGCCAAGTCCGACATCTAGAAGCGCCCAACGTGTAATGTAACATTGCATGTGTTGGACAACGATTTTCCACTACTGACACGCCATGGACATGTGTGGTTCGAAGCAAAACCCGATTTCTCTAAACTAGATTATTTGGCTTATCGAGCTCAAAACCAATATGTTTTAGACCAAAAACCAAACCCAGTGCTTGAAGATTTGAAAAATACTCATTGTATCACATGCGAGTAAAACTAAACTTTTGTTGTTAAACCTTAATTCTTAGTTTGACTTAATTTGATTTTTAATTGTTATAGATAGTAAAAAAGACATAAATATTATAGGTATTTTAATTCAACTTTTGGTCTAATGTACATATTATAAGCTCACATTATGTACATTCTATGTGTGTTATAAACACGTTTGTGTGGATGTGTATGTGTGTGGAAATATATTTTTAAAGAGGCACTTTAGACTCAATCTAAAAATGTATCTCTTGATACATGGATTAGATTATTTCAATGAATGATCCGCTCCATTCATCATGATCTAAATGTCTCAAAACATCTATAAAATAAAAATCATGATGTTTCAATACTTCTAAGTTCTAACACATATTTTCATGGACAAAACTTTTAAAAATGACCTTTTTCGAAATAATATTAGCAAAATGGACCTATCTATACTAAAATTAGCAAAACCGATCATTTTTTGGCAGCGCATCTGGGTAGAAAATGGTCGATTTTACTGAGAGAATGTTTCGGATGTATAGTCCTGTGTAATTAGTGCGCACTAATCTTCTCAAAGAGTACACACGGGACTAGCAGCCCCGTGTTTTGGGCAGAGACTTTGGAGTGCCCAAATGATTTACATAGGACTGCTAGTCCCATATTTTGGGCAAAGAGTTTCAAGCCCCAGAATGATTTACATGGGACTAGTAGTCTCGTGTACTCTCTGAGCCAAAAACAAAATGCATGGGACTAGTGGTCCCGTGCATTTCTCGGGCAGCACTTCACATTTGCACGTTTTATGTGCATTTCATGTACAAATTCAAAAACTATCTCACATTTTGTGTATTTCCTGTACAAATCCAAAAACCGTCTCACATTGATTCATATCGTAATAAAACTAACACAAACCACATTTGCATTTCCTCACAAACTCATTTTAAATTCCTACTCGATACATATCGTAATAAAACTGTTAAAAAATGATACATACACTCCACACAAACATCGCAAACATTATATAACCCTTCTCATCTCACCACACATCACAAGAAATAACTTAGCACAAATAGTTTCAAGTGTTCTTCACATACTACCTCAATACATATTAGAATAAAGCCAAGATACAAATAATATACTTCGTAAAAAAACATTGAAAACATACCAAATATAGGTTTGTAAAGTAGATAACGAAAATGATTAGTTTACATACATCTAAGAACTCTTTTCCTCCTCTGTCTTGTTTCTTGGACCTATTCTCATCCTCTCCCATCTCCAT